TTATAAACTGGGAATGAGGCACCATGTTATTCAAAAACAAATATGATTGATATGATCGGTAAAAATTTTAGCAACAATGTTACAGTTTCGAGGAGTGTTAGGTCTATAGTACAAAGCAAAATTATGTTTAACTTATGTAAGTTTTTATTTATTAGGCAACTATAACGCGCCTTTCAACTAAATAATAATACGAACAACAAACAAGATTGCTCGAATTATCAGGTGACAAATCAGAAAAATATATGGTGACAGTCTACTGTAGCTAAACAATGAAAACTAAATAAATATGCCTACAAATTTTTGTAAAGAATTAGATCCGTGTATTTGTTTGGCAAGCCCCCACCTTAATGTCTATTATGACTTTCATAAACACTGCAGGGACAGATATGACGAGTATTTAAACTAACTATGTGAAATTATACTGATGAATAATTAAACATAGATATATACCCATTATACCGAATTCAAGAACTTGAATTTCTCATTAATGCATTTTTCCAATTTTTAAATGCTTATTTATCCCTTCTTTCCTGTCAATGACCCCCCCCCCCATCATAGTATTACACAGACGTGACTCTGATGTGTTGCTTTCTTCATCGAGTCCTGTTTCTCCGAGTCAATCGATTTGTCGCCTGTATTCTTGGAATTAGTCGTGTCGGTTGTTGTAAGCTGCTGATTCTCCGTTGATATCGACAAATCTTGCACCATACTATACCCAGGTATTTTCATTGCCATACTGGGTGGAGGACCTGCTATCGGGGTGATCTTGGGTTTGACTCCCATTTGCACGAAGTTCGTTTGACGAGGACCTAGTCTTTTTAATTCTAATGGTGACTTCGGAGTACGTGTTCGTTCAATGTCTTTGTTTATTCGGGTTGTGTACTCTACGAATTTCGTTGGCGTGGTCTGCATGGGTACACCTGTACACATACAAGATTATAAATGATTAAGATTAGGATCCAAAACACATAATTACATATCGGACCATGCTCTCAAGAAAAATTACATAAATACAAAATGCAGATCAGTTACAAATAAAAAGCGTAAAAGATTGAATGAATGACAAAATTATAATTGTACATTTCTGGTAGGCTGTGCCTGGTGTCAGGAAAGCCAGCAATACATTTGAACACGATTCATGGTATCAATTCACGATTTTAGATCACACTTGCGTATATTTTGGCTGAACAGCTTATAGTGAGAGACGGTCTTTGGCCAAAACAACTAAAACAACGGTAATTGCCAATAGAAGTTAGAAATAGCAAATGTCGGTCATTTAGAAATCTAGGCATACGTGGTAAAACAGTCAGTAGTTTCTTGACTCACAAGGGGAGCTATACAGCATGCGAATTGATATTCCATAGCTAGGATTATCTATTATTACTTACCCGGAATGAGAATCTTTAAGTCATATTTACCACTGCTGTACCGATAGACTCCGCGTTGGCCATTGGACCAACGTACCTGTAGCAACAAAATACGTGTCACTGAATAAGTGAACTGGACAGACTTAATGACATGATTTGAGTTGTCTGCATTTAACGTGAAATGAGTGTATAATTGCTGTGTGGTAATTGCACCCAATAATCAATAGTCTCTGAGACTTTATCTGGCTAAAGGGTAACACGAGTGTCTATTTTTTTTCAACAACATCATACTCGTGAATCTCGCCAAGGATAAACATGGTGAAAGTCGCCATGGATACACAATGTGAAATTTGCCATGGATACACATTTGAATGTCGTCTTAGATACATATTGAGGGTGTCGCCATGGATACAACTTGCGAATGTTGCTATTGATACATAATGTGAATGTCGTCATGGATACATAATGTGAATGTCGTCATGGATACACACTGTGAATGTCGCCTTAGAATGTCGATTTCGTTCCTACCCTAACATTGAAGTATGCCTCGTGTTTGATGTAATAGACCGCACCAATACTTCCCACACCACCGTCTTCGAGACCATACTCCCAATCATCTCCTGGAGTGAAATAACAAGAATTTATGACAAATTTTGACCGATAATTCCTACGATATTTCGGGCTCTTGTTATTCGAGAATATTTCAGGTGACTCCATGTAATTACCATAACGAAAAAGTGGTAATGGGGTGTGATATATCCTAGATAATTCGATGCATGAAGTGATAATGAGGTATAATGGTATTATATATTAAATATTTCAATGAAGTTTAAGATAATGTTGTTGGTTCAGTGTTAATGTTGACATTTTTAACTCGTTAACTTAAATCAGTCATCTATGTTGGCGTGAATAAATGATTTTAATAATATGGACATCAGTAAGTATTGTACTACATTTTTATGAACAACCTCGTCGTAGTTTATGAATGAGCACAGTCTCTCTCCGCCAACAAAGCCGTCTCAGGCTATACGCCTGTTAATAATCATACAACGTTAGCGAGCATCTTGTTTTTTTGTTCAAACTTCTCGTGGATATGTCATTTACAATTCGTGTGCGTTATTTGTAACATCCACACAAACTTGCAATACAATGTTTGTTTCCACCATTATGTTGTACATGTTCTATTATAATTTTTTGTAAATATATATTACATGTACGCATTTGAGGACCATATACTTTTTTATTGTAATAATAAATAAATGAAGGTTTATCACATTTGAACAACACCGTGTAATACTCTTGTTTTGAACTGTGCAGACAAGGTTACTTGATTGGCCATAAATAAAAGATACAATACATACTCGTATTTAGGCCCCTGAAACAACACTTTTTTTAAATTAGGAAATACAATTATAATTATATGTGAGAAGTTTTATTGTTGATATTAAGAGCAATGTTTTCTAAAGTGTGTTTTTTGTGTTTTTCTGATCAACACTATTGCTAATGCATCAAGATACTAGTATATAGCGCTACTGTTACGTAATAACCCATCATTTTAGTAATACGGATGTTCTTGTGTTTATCTATCCTTTTGAAATACACAATACATTTTGGCATGATGAATTGTGGTTCATATGTATTGGAAATAGGACTGTAAAAATGACAAGTTTAGTGTGTGGGGATTTAACTGTTCTATTCATCCATTTCGCCAAAGAAGCGCTTCGCCACTAGAGGGAGCTGTTTATATGAATGGTGTATTACCTCTCTGAACTCTGATTCCGATCTTAATGTGTTCACCGGGCATTATAAATCTGGCTCCTTCTGGATTCTCATCTACAGCCTAATAGTAAAAGTTAACAATATTTTAAGACTATACTATAGCACTGAAATTTGTTTTTAATATATTCATGCACGATTACCAACCAATCAGAACTCGTGTTGCAACGTGCTCTCTACATTAGTTGAACAATCAGAGGAGACATGCAGCCTGATTAGATGAGGGCGACAAAGAAACAAAAAGCTAGAGCCTCCAAATACATGGTATTTTAATTAGATTTAGCTATGACTTAGTTGCTAAGTAACGACGAGGAATTGTTTGGAGAATGACAATTTGTTATACTTAATATAAACATTCAAATTAAAAATGTTTAAACCTTGAGATCAAATGCGTCTTCTGCGCCGAATCTGTAGCTATTCATATATCCATAGTCCCAGTACACAACAATAACACCTGTAACTCAATATAGTCACGTGATATAAATGCCCAAATATGGACTTTGAATGTAGTTAATCAATTTATACGTGATTTATACTTATTTATACGTGAAATAAATTGTCAGGTTATCAAGTAACATAATATATTGAAATTATTATATTATTTATTGTAAGAGAGTTAGAACGTGGTATACCTCCCTGTAAGTGTTTGACAACAGTACCATGTGCTCCTCCATCCTGCATGTCCCATTTCCAATCGACACCACGTGACACTCTGGCACCGAGTGTTGGGTACCGGGGAAATTCCTACGTGTTGATTGAATTACAATATCAGATTTTCTCACATTCGCATTCTGGGGAGGGGAGTTAATGTAATTTCTAACCCCTACACTTTGCTTTGAACACCAAAGAGGGATCGAGAGGTTAAACTGTTATCATGTATTCATGTCAGAATGCTAATTTAAATTTTGTTGATTCGCGTTTATTAACATATATATGTATATTCATCAAATCGTTAATTTGTAGTTGAACACAGTGAAAAATATAATTTTACCTCAAAATTTCTATCTGCATTGTATGATTCCAACTGCCTAATAGCACGCTCATTCTGTTGAAAATTAAAAAAAAAATTGTATTTACCATTATTCGTAGATTTTTCCTAAACAACAGTCAGTAACTGTGTATACATATTGCGTTGCTAGGTGTATAATAGCCCTCTTCGCTAGCCATGGACCATTTATTCGGCCGAAGCCTCAATATTATCGTGGGCTGGTTATGAGTGGCTTTAGCGAAACCGTGCGATTCGGACGATGTATTCTAACATACTCACGTCTTTGTCTAACCGAGGCATTGCTTACATCATTTGGAATGTTACCCGTGCACGTAAAATAACCTGCGTAAATAAGCGTAACCTGCTTGCGTTAATCAGCCATCCTACAGAAAATATAATGTATCTGTTTTATTACATTGTAAACACTGCGAACATAGATTCCTTCAGATCTTAAAAGTAGATAACTGATGTACTTGAGAGATTGTGAGGTTTCAACAGTCATACAAAGGACAAGACCCATGTTTGTTGATACTTTACATCATTGAAGATCACATTTCACAACCTACATGTTATATATTTGTTTTAGCAATACAATTGAAGTTCTGACAATTATATTTATTTTTTAATAAAATAATGTTTTTGTTTGTTTTTGTAAAAGTTTCCTCAATAATTATGCTAATTGTATGCAAATGAATAAATTAGGTCATAAAAACTATAGGATTTTCTCCTTGTTGGGTGACTCGGACCCATTTCGATGTGTTCCGTATGAGATACAATATCTAATTTTTTTCACAATACAGACAACTGACTGTAAATTCGAAAAGGTGCAAGAAAAATGCCACACAAACATAGGATCTTAACAATACCTTACTGACTCCGAATGTCTCACATTTGCATGTGTGTCTCATCGTTTTTTGAGTTCGTTGCATTGCAACGCTTTTCGGTACCGTTATTTGCCAACACTAATTTTAAAGAAGTAATGTTTATTTGAAAGGTTCGCTGAGTAGTTTCCAGTATCTTTCTTCAATAACTATAAATTACTGTCCAACTATTAAAGGCGCTGGTCGCCTCGCCGGGTCCGTCGTGTTCGGTATAGGTCCATAGACACGTGAATAATGCATGTACTGAAAATGCACATGAAATAAATTCAACCACGGGCTGCGCGTCGACCGCCACCCTTTAATCTCATTCTTCCAGCTGCATTTCAATACCATGCCGTTCTAAAATGCCATAAAACAGTTTTATGCATTTCTATCAATACATGTATTTGGAAAGCACATCACAGCACCCCTTACGTTAAAATTGAATCTAATAACACATGAATTATATGCTAGATTGTGCCAGACCTTTCATGGCACATGAAGTATTGTATTTTTACATTTTGTTGAGGTTTCTCCGTAAAGTAAATACAAAGTACCCAGGAGAAAAACAAACAAATTCATGCACGATTAAACTCACCATATGACAATCACTACGATTATTGGCTAGCGTAGTCCAACTAATAGGGACTATATTTAAGGAAGGAAACCTGAAATCGTCGTATTTACCAAACACTGACAAAAATGTCAGCTTAGTAACCACATGATTGATTAAATTTAATAGTTATTGTATGTCAGGGTGTTTATTTACAACGATCCCGTTGCTATATCATTATGACGGGCACTCACAAACAACAAAAGTCGTCAACATGTCATGGAACACTCACCTGGTCTCGCCGCTAACTGGCGTGATGTCGTGATGCTAGGAAGGACAACAGTACTAGAAAGAGGATCCACCTAAGACATATGTGCTATCCATTGCGACCATAGTCAATGCAGCTGTGTGTATACGGTGTGTGTGTGCACGGTGTGTGTAGATGACTTACAGGTTGCTGGGCTGCACCCAACTTTCAATCAAATATTAACAGACGCTATTAATGATTCACCACGAAATACGATACCCAATAATTATGCCATTCTGACGATGAATACGTTCTGTTTATGTTTATTACGTATAAGCAAATTATTCACAACAAGAACAATCAAATGATTATCATTGGTTATAGCTGTCTCATAAAAAATATTTTAATGTATTCTTCAATATAGTATATTCCACACGTAAGATATTGTACAATCAAATTCAATAACGCCACCTTCATTTACTGTCTCATGTGAATATATATCAAGAGGTCGCTGGTTACAACATTAATCAAGATCACGCGAGGTGGATTCAAATGAAACACGTGACCCACCACGGAATAACTCGCATGACTTTTGATTGGGGTACAATTTGAGGAAATAATTTGAAATGTATTTACTTGGTTTTTAGTCTGCTACATTTCAGAAAGAATAGACAGGTGATCCGTGGTCAACCTTGTTCATGTAAAATGTGCTTGTAACTGCCAGTGGTGCATTTTAAAGGTCCCGTATTTGTTTAGTGTCATTATGTAAATATTTCCATTTTAATCAAAATAATGTAAAACATGTCTTTTTAGCTAGTGCGTTATTTTAGCTAATTTAGCTAATCTGTAATTTCGCTAATTCAAGATGTCGCTAATTTAGAATAAAGTATATTCCCACAATGCGATTGTTGACACTTTAGCTAAATTAAGATTCAGTTAATTCATGCATAGAGTCAAATTCGCTAAAATGGTATGTAGCTGTTTTACAGTAGGTCCCAGAAACGACTGAAAGTTATATTTGTTGGTGAATATGAAGTACACGCAATCGTTCCTAGTTTTAGGATTCTTTGAGCAACATTAGTCTTACGCGGTTAATCCTCACAAGGAACGAAGACGTGCATATTTAATAACAAACAAACATTACTTCCCAAAAGACTTTGATTCCAGAGACCAGATTGAATGCCATGCTGGACATCCGGGTAATAATACCCCCGTGGAAACTTGGGTAAAATATGTTGTCTTCATAATGTAAATCTTTTCGTTTTGGTAAATAAGTCAAATAGTTTAGCAAGGTATTATATGCGTCGCAACAGAATAGTTTCAAGTTGACGAAGGGTAATATGATATATGTTGTATCTGTTGACTACATAATAGAACAGTTAGTGTCCTTGTCTGTACTTTTGCTGCGGCCAGATGAACTTGTGTCACTCCGCCTTGCCACCGCACCACCGGAACCGGGGGAACCACTAGCTGTCGCTCCGCTTGGAGTGTCGTCATCAGTCAGTGCAGAAAGTAGAGCCAATGTCGCCAAGCCTCTCACGAGACGGTCTCTTGGATCGGCATCTTGTAAATAAAAGAAGACTTATTTAGATAAGAAAATACTGCGAAGGGTGATATTTGAAATAAATATCATGCCGGTTTCACTCAACTTGAAGACAGTTCGGATCGAAATGAATATTCATGTGTCATTTTCGTCTTACATATTATTGGCTCATGCCATTAGGACATGGAAAATGAGAAAAATATCTTTGCCTTTGGAGTCACATTAAACAAATCGTCTTAAACGCTTTCTAACAAATCGTTACGCCTACTTACCGCCACCACTGCCGGGCAATACTTCAAGATCACGGATACCTCCCTTATAGCGGTAGCAATTTTTTTTTCCATTTGGCCAACGGACCTGGAAGAAAACGCCAAATCGTGACTTTAGTTAATCGTTCCACGTTACTGAGCGATACACGTAAAATCTATTTCAAATAACTCACACTGACGCCACAGTCCTCGTCTGCTTTCACTCTGTAAACGCACCCAATATTGCCAGGTCCACCGTCTTGGTTTCCCCATTGCCAATTTGGACCTTAAAATCAAATTTAAAAAAAAAGTTATACCATCAACGAGTCGTTGAACGCTTGTTAAATATGACGTAGTT